GGAATTGTGTGGATATGGGGAAACAACTGATCTTGAGGCCAGACAGAGTGTGACCCGTAGCAATTGCATATATACATGCTCTTACCCTGCAGCAAATCTGAAATAATTTTCTCCTGTGTGAAACAAGGATGTACACATCTGTTTTCCCTCTAAGTTAGGGCATAAATGGTCAAAGCTACTGGGGAGTGGTAGCGGCATGCTGAGGTGGCTCTGGATGTGGCTTTATTGTTTCTGACTCTGGCAAGGAAAGCTGCTAATCTTTATTACAGCCCACGTGTATTACTGTACTGTAAATATATAACGTACATATATACCAGTATATCTCACAAGTGAAATGCTGTCCTGCAGAGATGAGTAAAGACAAAACTGTTCTATATTTCTTTACACTGATAAAAATAGTTTGTGAATGGATCAAAGCAGGAAGATTCTTGGAATACAGCTTGCAACCAGACAAGTAATTACAGAAGCAAAACAAGTTGACAAACTGATATATTTGAGCATAGTGTGGGGCATAATAATGATAACAATGCATCCACAGTTCATCCACATCCTCAGAGCACTTAAAAATCAGGTTTCTCAGATGAGCAAGTCATTCAGTCAGAAAGTTACACTACAGTCAATGCTGATGCTCTGCATAGCCAGAGAGGGATTGTAGTCACCAGTCCTTCAGCCTGTCTGATCAGACTTTCCTCTCATGTTAAGTTCAAACAAGCCAAACTTCTCTCCCCTAAAACATGCCAAGTGCATCTCAGCTTCATTTATTACATGAAGGATATTTTTTGAGACAGAATAAGTATACTGGACAGCTATTAATATGTTCTGATGCTTGCGTGTGTTCATTACAAGAATGGATTAGAATGAAAGATGAAGGAAATTTAACTTCCTCAGTTCAGGAAAACAGTACCACAGGAATGAAGAATACATGCTCAAGGGCACAGAACAACATAGTTTTAATCATATGAGTCCCCTTAGCAAAAATTGAAGATTTCGGAGAACTAGATAATTTACCAATAACTAAGGGCAGACCGATTCGGTGTGAGAAGTCCTATACTGATAAGGAATCAAAATGTGATTTGTTCCATTTAATAAAAAGGTGTTGGCTTTTGGAAAGAAAAAAAAAAAGAAAAAGAAAAAAAACCAAACCCTAAACAAACAAAACTCCCAAACTCAGAAATGGGAGCACAAATAACTTTGAAACAGGGCTGTACGCATTTCTGGAGCAGTAAAGATTACAGAAGGATAGTTATTAGTGTTGTGGGATCACAATAAGGAAAAAGGTGTTGACGCATATTTTCCTAGGTTTATAAGTGGCCAGCCTTAATGAAGTACACAGCCTCCTCTTGACTTGCAAGATCATTCTCCTTTTTTTTTTTCCCACAGATAAAGCCATTGTTTTATTTATTCTCACACAAACACTACAGAGAAAAAACTGCAAAGATACCCAAACGACCCATGCTGACTGCAGAATTACTTTTGTGATCTACTATCAGTAAGTGATAAAGTATCCCTAAGCTGACAAAAGAGACTGCTAACAGTGGTGTTTTGATTCTATTGATCAGCAAATTTGTGAGTAACACAATGAGTCTGTGTTTCAGATGAGGCTCTCTTTATTTTCTGCAGGTAGCTTGAAAATGGCAATACCCTGCTTTTCCACAAAGGAATTTGACCTAAGGAATTTTCTCATTCACTGTGATCTCTGCTATAATAGGTTTTAGCAATGAAGTTTTTATGCAATAAAGTTATTGCAGTGATTAAGAAAAATATGGCAATGAAAACAGACAGTGTGACTGGTTGGTAAGATGCTGCACTTTAAAGAAGGCTTTACAATGAATGGATCAGAATCAGCCACATCCCAATATCACAATGGTTTTGCATGAGTAAGCCCAGAGAGGAAAGTGCCAAGTGTTAGAGGTGATGTGATGGAGAAAGCTTGTGCTGCAGTTCCAGTATATGCTGTAACTTCAGTAAGACTGTGGGGTTTACTGAAGCTGTCCTTACTGGGTCAGTGTAAACCACTCCTGAGTATTCATAACTTTCCTACATGCCACGTGCCACTCAGATGCGACGGTAAGGCCCACATGGGGGCTTGCAGCCCACCTTTAAGCTCCCAGGTACATGGAAAATATCTTGTAGCTCTTAAAAACATGAAGATTTTGGTACACATTCTGCCCATTCAGGAAGATTAATCCCCTGAGCTAGTACAATACACCCACTATTTTTTAATTTTACACTGGTTGTAAAAAAAAAAAAGAGATTACAATTGTTAGTGACTAGCATTCCTTCCTGTACCAGAAGCAACAACACGTTCTCAGCAACTTCCTCAGGAATTCTCACTCCTCTTTGGCCATTTGTTATCAGTTCTACCAGTGATGATCATTAGTGCATGCAGTATGATAAACTCATTACCAAAATCTACAAAGCAGTGCAAACCCCTGCATTTCCTGGCATGCGTTCCCATTAAATAAAAATACTTCGATCGTCAGTGATTTAGAACAACTGCCCGCTAGACCTAGCTGAAATCCGGAATTTCCGTTTACAAGAAAAATCAGTAACAATGTAAAAGTTACGGAGCCAGACCAAAAGTCAGCCTCTCCCAACATGCAGTCAGCAGCAGCAGCAGCACACATAAAGGCAGAGACCACAAAATCGGGGCACACGGAGATTACATCTACACAGGTGGGTTTAAAGGTACTGAAGCACGTACTTTCCAGTCATTTGTCTAAATTTATTTGAACTTCTTCATACTTTTGGCCTCCTCATCTCCCAGTACTGAAAGTTACTTATACTGTGGGGAAAAAAAAAGGACTGTGGTTTGCTTTAAAGCTTGAGAATTTCCATGACAGAACCCAAGGTTTTGGATCCTTAGTCTTCAACTTGCTCACATGAAATGACAATTAGTTCTAGAAGAGATATTGACCAAGGGATCCTACAGAGCCAGCACTGTGGGCACATGGTGAAGAACTGACCCAAACAGAAGCATTTCAACATGATTTGAGATACTAAAATATGACAGCCTCTCAACTACAATTAAATAATCTGTCTAGGTTTTCCGATAGAATATGCACAAAAAATCAGGGAAATTGAAACTTCTGTGGTGTTTCCATTTTTAAAAAAACAACCACCAACAAAAGCACTGATTTTCTGTTAAAAAACTGGGACAAAACAAAATCCCAGTGAGCTCTGACACTGGATGAAAATTCCATTACCTAAAACAACTTATTTGTCTTTAACTATTCATCCAGAACTATGCCAGTTATGCAACTAATTACTTACCATGCCTGTAATGCTCACTAAACGGTACATATTTCATGACAATATGAGCCGTGAGTTATTTGCTGTGTTATTTTTAATATCCTAAGAGAGGTACTATGACATAGTCATTCAAATCTGTTACTGAAAACTACACAGTCAAAATTTACTTTGCACTTATAAAATTTATGTAAACGTCTGAAAACACATTCCACTGTACCTAGTGACAGAAAAAAATTTTTGTTTCCTATAAACAAAAGATAGATACCAATGCAGAGTATTACACAGTACCAAGCTAGAAGAGCAATGGTGGTTTAGAATGAAGTCATGAATCTTCCTCAAAATAGAGCTACATTTTATAAACAATTCTGACTTAAAAATGCAAATAGGTAGCATAAGGAATTTTCGTGTTCACTTCAGACATTTATCTTCCCCAAATATAATCAGAGATTATTGATTGGCCTTGTCATAATCCATCTGCTAAGAATCAAGAGGTGATGGGAAAAATAAGTCCCTTGCTTATATTATTAAAGAATGTTTATGATTTTATAGCAAATAAAGCAATGTAATCAAAAGCAATTACATTCCTG